TTCATATCTACCCATGACTACTCCAGTCACGTGAGCTATCCCACCAAATCTCTTATTCCAATCGCATCATAGTTTGGAGAATGCAAAGACTCCTAGGCTAGGAACACACATTCAAAAAGCCTGAGTCTGAATTGATTCGATCTCTTGCAGGTTGGTCTAGCTAGGCTGAACCAGTTTGTAACTGGACAGATATTCTCTCTGGACTGAGGAAATTCAGGCTCATGCCTGCAATAGCTCAGGCTAGAAGCCGGGGGAGGAGGGGTGATAGAGCCAACCCTCCTTTCCCTTCCAGAGAGGTGAGCTGAGGGTGGGCATGGCCAGGCCCTGGCAGGACCTCTGATTAGGGAGGTCTGTCGGCACCATCCCAGGCTTTTCCCTGCTTGCTGCTCAAGGGGCAGGAGTGTTGCCAGCCCCAGGCTGCACTCTCAGAGCAAAGGGTGGGGTGTGTAGTGCACGCATCTATTGATGATCCAGACCTTTTCAATCTCCTTCCCTGCTGTTTGCCGCAGACTGACAGGCAAGCAAGCAAGCCAGCAGAGAGCTGATACCAATGTTTATCACCTCATTAGCAAAACAGTAGCCTCCCTCCATTAATTCAAACTCTTCTTAAACCGCTTACTAGCTGACCTGTTGACTTAGCTCCAAAAAGCCCTAAGCAGTCACTGTTCTGTCTGCCTGTCCCAGTGAAATTGGAGACATGCACACACAGACACTTCTTGGCATTAGCTAGCATACCACATGCCTAGGGTCTTTGGGGCTGGAGTTCGTGCTGTGGGAGATGGGAGGGGGGGTGGGATTCCTGCTTGAGCAGTGAGGTTGGGTAGGGCAGTGGGAAGCCAGGCAGACCCTTCTGAGGCTGCAGAGCTCCAGCCAGGGAGCTGAGGGGGAAGGGACCAGTTCTGCTGTGGAACAGAGAGCCCTGCTCAGCCCAGAGAGCACGCTCAGATGCTGGGGTCCCTAATTTAACTTGAACCAGCAAGGGGTCTAACAGACATTGCATACACTAGTTTGACCCAAATTAGTTAAATCTGATACTACATTCAACCAGGTTTATCTCAAACCAGTTTCAGCCAAAGCTCTGCTAGTCACTATCTGCACAGCCATGGATTGATCTCCAGGATGCGTCCACTTCTACCTGGGCCCTTCTCTTTGACCGGAAGGATTGAAGAGAACACCACCTGGGCCCCTGGGCCCTTAACCCTTGCACCCAGAGCTTTGTAGTCTCTTGATCTGCTCAGGGTCACTCCTGGCAGTGTCATTGGTGTCCACATAGATGAACAGCATTGGGTAGTCAGAGGACTTGATGAATCTTGGTAATCTTTCTTTGACTTCTCAGCTCTGTGCAAGCCGCAGATCTCCGGAGACAACAGGTCAGGCTGGCAGATGGATGCCTCCACAGAAGGGCATCTCTAACTACTGCCACCCATGGCTTCCTTTTGGTGGATTGATTCTCCCAACCTTGGGGATACCTGGCCTGGCCTCTTCCACCAACAGAATGAGCTCCTCCTCTGTTGCTAGGGCTCTGTGTCTTTATTTCAGGAAAACCACTGCAGGTAGGGGTGAAGACTTCCACTTGCTGTCAGAGCTTCCACGTTCCTAGGAGTCCATGCCCTCTTCCTTTTCATTATCCAAATGGGTAATGAGTCATCCATTCCTGTGAGCTGTCTGAACTCACTTTACTCTTCCCCAATGGATCAGCTGGGTAGGGTGCTTTTTGCAAGCACTGCCAGACTGTTTTAGACATGATCTCAGTTAGAAAAAAAAAATTGTAAGTTTCCTTTTTACTTTATTATTTTACTGTTAATTATTTTAGTTGGAACACAAAGGTCATGTGGTTCTGGACATAGCAGCAAATACTGAGAGGGCTACACTGGAGTAAATAATTATTGTCAAGTTATAGGGGTAGGCAATGGTTTGATAGCCCTTTCCTTCAGTGTAAAATAACCTCCCATCCTGTGCCAGCGGAAGAGGGAAACGAATACTGATGAAAAAATGAAGCGCGTATTTATAAATAACAGAAGCCACAGCTATTCCTTGCTTGGACTTCCTGTCTTTCTTTTAGTTGGATCAGATTTTCTTCCTAGACACTGAAAACTTTCACATAAGCCATGGTAAGCTCTTATTACAAGTTTATGCTTTTTGAAAAATGTTTTTGGCCTGTGTCTGGGTAGGAAGAGCAAACCCTGCTGTAACGTGATTTACAATAACTTCCTGACTAGGTCAGATTGTGTCGGTGAGCTTTATCGGCTTTTTCCATGTCTTTAGTCAAATGTTGATGCTCAGTTTGTTGGTAGTTAATGGAAAAGGAAGACGAATCATTTTGTCTTCCTGGGCCCTTCCTTTTTGTGTATTTCTTTACAAAATCTGCAAATTTATCAAAACCAAATAGGAATAAGTCTGTTCCTTTTCCACATTTTGGTCTTGTGTTGAGAATTAAGCTAGAGACACGAGAGCAGTGACAGAAATGATAATTTGAGGTCGTTTTGTAATCCAAGAGGGCATCTGGATCAGCAGAACATTACATTTGCATCCTATTTTGCACACCTATCAAATGAAGCTATCACTATCACCAGAAGAGTGCAACTTCTGAGATTTTAGCAGCCTGTTACAACTAATAGAATTGAGCACTACCTACCATTGCAGTTTTGGACAAAATAGGATTGGAAAACATGTCTTCCTGCACTTCACCTGCAAAACTCAGTGCAAAGGAGAGTGTTTTTTTTTCCTTAGCATAGTCACCTACTTGGAGTTCTTTAAAAGTGTACTATTACATATATGGAAATATGAAAGGGTAGAGTTTTCCTCTTGCTTGGACTTTGAATATTTCAGAAAAATGAGCTGCTTAAATTGTTAGGAAGCAGAAATGAAGAAGACTGGTCTTTGTGAGATTTTTAGACCATTAGGACCAGAAAGTGCACAGTTCTGCTTAAAATGGGATATCTGGGCATCAGGGTGATTTTTCCCCTTAGTGTTTTACTGTGCTGAGATCATATGCATTGAGCCTGCCTTCTCTTGGCTCAGAGATGCATTCCATTGTTATCTGCTTTAGGAAACGAAACTATTGCTAAATTCCACACCCCCCCCGCCCCAAATAATGGCTTCCCTTACAGATATTGGAAATAATTTCACTTCTTGTGCAGACTAAGGCAATACATTTTCTGTAGAGATTTAGAAAACATGTTTTGAGATGCTAACATTACAGGTATTGCACAATTAACTGTTTAATTGCAAAATTACCTTAAAACCAGCTAAAAGTGCAAATTGGCTATCACACACAAAAAGATCCAACCAGTTGCCCGTGGTGGGGGCTGTGCACCTTGGCGGGAGGTTGTGGGGGGATGGAGGAAGTGTGTGGCAGTCCCTACATGCCCCTATCCTTCCTCGCACCCACACCCTGCCCACCCAAGCTCTATGCTGCTGCCACCCTCCTGGGCATGCGCTCCACGCTGCCACCAGCCCCAGCTCCATGCTGTATGCTTCCGCCCAACTGCAGCTCCTCTCATCCCTGCTACTTCCCTACCTGGTACCTGGAGTGAGAGGGATGCTGGGGAAGCCAAACAGGTCCCCCAGTGGCTGCAGCAGCAGCAGTCCCACCCGGCAGCTGCACGCTGCCTGGCCTGGGCCTTTCCATCCGCGAGGGTGGGAGTGAGGCACATGGGCTGGGTGAGGTACAGTTAGGTGATGGGTGCCTGCAGGTGCAATGACATTGCCTAGTGGACAGGGTTTGGCCCACAGGCCATATTTTGCCCTGCCCTGAGTTAGACTTTATTCAGTTGCAGTTACCAGTGTACCTTTCAATGAGCAGGGGGCAGCCTCAAGTCCCAGGTCCAGGAACTAGGTTCACCTCTGCCCACTGAGTGGGGAGCAGCTCCAGGTCCCAGAGCTGCCATGTGCCCCATCGTGATGGTCAGCAGGACACACGCCATACGTTCTACTTAAATTGTAATACAAACCAGCCATAAAATCCATTAAATGTGGAATATCTTTGCAGCTGGTTTGCTATTTTATTGCATTGCGCGCTGTCTGAACTTGTGGCATGCTGCAGTTAACATGCTGAGTGCACCATAAATGTAACATTAGCCAGGGCCCTAGTTTATGTCCAGTTAAGTTGTTTGCCCCAGTAGGGGCTGATCTTTTTGGCTGGCATGCCACATACGAGCTCCACACCCTCCCAGATCCCTTTACTATACTTGATCTGCTGCTCTGCTTTCTCTCTTCTGCTCCACTCCCTGCCTGATCTGTTCTGTTTCCTGCTTCCTGCCCTATATTCCCTGCCTGATCATCTGCTCTGTCTTCTGCCTCCTGCCCCATCTGCTGCTGTGCTGTCTGTCCCCTTCCTGACTGGTCACATGCCACACAAAGGGGCTACCTATGACACTCCTGCCACAGGTTGGCTTCTTCTGGTCTAGGAGGTCACCAGCGCCTTTATGTTGTTAATTTTGTTCAGAACCAATTCTTGTGCTTAAAGTACTGTTGTCTTGTCCCAAACTTGTTGAGCTGGTGGTAGCAGCTGTGGGATATTATGGAAAAAGCTTTAGAGGCATCATTTTAAAATTTACACTTCTGTCTGAAAACTATACTTGGTTGTGTTACAAGACTCTTCCAAGATTACTATAATTGAAAGAGACTATAAGTAAGCTGAATTCTTAGCTTGCTTGGTTTGATATAACTTTTCTTTTTTATCCTGTTCTATTTTTACATCCTTGGGTGAGCAGTCAGGCTGCCTCATTCTTTTATGGGTCTCTCTCTCAGCAGCGCAGGGATGGGAGATATTTCTAAAACTGCAACATTTGGTAGAAAAACATAGGATGTGCAGAACCTGGAATTTATTTTTTACTCTTATTACTCTTAGCTTTCAGTTTGTTAGTTTCCTTTTGAGGATGATCTTCACCTAAAATGTCTTTGTAAGAGTGAAGTTACGTATTTCCCAAATCAGAAATAAATAATCTCTGTTGCTATCATCACTCATTTTTTTTAATAATTTTTTTGTACCCCTACAGGCAAAATGGCTGCTCAAGTTACTTTGGAGGATGCTTTGTCCAATGTGGATCTCTTGGAAGAATTACCATTACCGGATCAGCAACCGTGCATAGAACCCCCTCCATCATCTCTGCTTTACCAGGTACAAGAATATCCATTCTGATATTTGCCTTTTGGCAAATATTGCCATTCTCCATTGCCTTTTGGAAAAGCAAGCACAGGTAACTTTTTTTTCTGTAAGAACTGGCATTTGGATTTTTTCTTTCTTGATGTGTGTCTTTTTTCCCCTCTTCATACAGCCAAACTTCAACACTAATTTTGAAGATAGAAATGCATTTGTTACAGGCATTGCAAGATATATTGAACAAGCTTGTGTCCATTCTAGCATGGTAAGTACGTCTTTGACCAGTTTTCTTATGGTATGATAGATATAAATTCAGGAAGAAAACTGGAGTAGCAAACCCCCCCCCCCCCAACAAACACTTCAAAGAGGCACCACCTTCAGGAATGATATCTCGCAAGAAGCATTTGGTTAGCTCACTGTTTTTCTTATCCATCAAAAATGGTCTCTTTACTGAGTTAGTTGCTTGGAAGTCTCTGTCCTTTAGCTTTTTGTTAAACAATTCTTCAGCTTTCTGACATCACCTTGTATTATCAACAGCCATGTTATTATGACTAATGGGAGAAAGTTTACCTGGTGTGCCAGAAAGTTCCCATTCCACTCTATTATTTTGGTTCAGGTGAGGGGCTGTTAGGGAAAGACATATATCAGCTCCTTCATTTTTCAACATCTGTATTAGTGACTTGCTTGACACAGGTTTTTTAAGTTCTCCTATGCTGATGACACCACTCCTGCAGTACAGAGCAAAGAACTCAGCACCGTCTTCACTGACTCTAAGGTAACAGTGGAATAAGCTTGGTACTGGAAGATCCTCCTCATTCTTGCATCTACACAGCAAAGTCACTGAGAAACCACTTAGTTTCACCTCTTGTAATCAGCTGCTTTCAAATGATCGTTATCTGAAGTATCTGGATAAAAGTTTGACTTTAGAAGCTCATCTAGAAAGGGGCTGTGTTAAAAAAAATAAAAGCAAGCACTAGCCTAATGTGAGAATTTTGTAGACCTGACATAGTGTCTTGATTATGTACGTGCTTTGAAAAGGGGCTCTAGCACCGATACAGGTCCACTGCTAAATATTGTGCTTCATCTCAGCAGGTGGTACCTGTGCCAGATCTCTGGATGAGCAACTTAATGCCATGATAATGATTCTAACTGGAATATTAAAGTCAAGACCCATTTAATGATTGCCCATGAGAGCGTGCCCATCCTCCTTCTCCCCACAAACATCTGTAGATACACATACTCCCAAAGCTTGTAAATGCAATCAAACCATGGCCAACCTGAACTTTAGCAATTTATAAAGATCTCCCAGAATTTTCTGAAGACACTTCTGAAATCTCCCAAGCCACTTCGGCTTTGAGATAAAGGTTTTTCAGTTGTTTATCCTGAGACGCACTGCATGCACTGTGAAGAATTCTGAGATGAAATTCATATCCTATTCAGTCACTTGCTTATTGGCTGTGCAGAAGTACTTCCTGGGTTCAACCCGCTCTGGAAAAAGTGCTCCTCGATGGACCATTTCAGAACGTGACAAATATGGACCTCTTTCTTACCTCCTGGAAGATGCGAGAATGCCCAGTGTGACTGCTAATATCACTTACAAACAGCGGGCCGCTCTGTAAATCAGTGAGAACTTTGCTAGTTTGTAGGCGTCATGTGGGCTTACAACAACATACTTCTGAAACTCTCTTCATGCTCACGAATCTGGACCTGGTTATTTGATTGTGGCCAATCGTTTCTCCTTTCTTGTGAAAGCAGGATTGCTTTCCTATCCCGGAAGATTTTACTACACCGCTTTTTAACACTTTTCCATTTTCCTGTATATAAATGTAAAGATCCTTGTTGTTTCCCAGTTCTGTTTTGGTGATTTTAGTGTCTTGAATGCAATTAAAACATGATTTGTTTGGATTTCATGTCTGGCTTTGTCATGAGCCAAGTTTGCTGACCATATTATAGTAACATACTCATTGCATTAAAATGGCGAAAGTATTCCACCCATTAGAAATAGTGAAGATGATTCTGTGGATCTCAATTCACATGTAGTAGGGTACTGTTGAGAGAGATGATTAAGAATAGAAGAATTTTTAGAGGTTGGTTTGAACAGCTGAAGTAATTTTTTTTGGTAAATTATGAATCGAGTTGAGTTGGGCTTTTAAATAGAAACCTGCTTGCACTATATGCTTCAGTAAGGACTGGCAATTTTAATGTGCTGCTAAAATGCATTGGGTGTGACTTAGTACGCATATATTCTAGTAAGAAAAATAGGTTGGTTTTGTCCAGGATATGGATTTAATGAAGAGTTAATCTCTTCTGTGCTGTGGCTCCTCACATGTTGAATGTTTTTCTTTACTGTAGAATGAAATGCTGGAAGAGGGCCAAGAGTATGCTGTCATGCTGTATACATGGAGGAGTTGCTCAAGAGCCATTCCTCAGGTAAAAAAAAAAAAAAAAAAAAAATTCAAGTGTCACCCTGCCTGACTTGGACCTTCGTCTCTCCCCTGTGACTGTATGGGTCAGCAGCTTTAGCAAAGAACTTGAATGAGTCCTTATTCCTGAGCCCACAAAGGTGGCATAACAATGACACCTTCTCTTCTGTGCTTTGGTGAGGGAACCTGGGAAGCATTTCTTTTTGCTGTGCATTATTCTCTCTGCCAACTTTGGGAATAGCACAAAAGCAACATGCTCTGGAAGGATAATAGTTTATTTGAGATCAAGGCCTTCTATTTCATTTAATATCAAATAAAAGAAGATAATGGAAAGCAGCATCTATAGTTTGATTTCAAACTATGTGACTAGTAACATGATAATGTTAAGGATAGACTTAAAAAGTTCTGAGCAAAAAACATAAAATAAGGAAGGTGTAGTTGGTGATTTTTTTTTCTAGGTATTCGAGGCTCCCTGTATTTTATAGATACGTGTTTATATTTAATTAAAAAAAATACCCATAGATACCATGAGTCCATAGTTATGACTTGAGTGGCTTTTAAAATGTGAACTTTTAAGAGTTGAGAGGAACTGGAAAAGCAACAAAATAGTGATTCTTTTAATAGTTTTTGATTTACAGAATTTCTAACAAAAAATATTGTATGCTGACACAAGTGTAATACTTGTGAAACCATCAGATTATCATATGGATTATAGGGGTTCAGTTTTCAGTTTTTCTCTTTCTCCTGTGACTGGGAAGTTGCTGAATCTCTGTGCTTTGATTCCCCAGCTTGTAAAATGAAGAAAATACTATTTCACAGAGATGGTCGGGGGTTAAATTGGTTACTATAGGTGAGGCGCCCAGAGCCTACAATGATTGAGGCCATGTAAAAATACAGTTGGATTTCTTCTCGGCACGTTTATATTTGGAAAATAGTATTCCCTTAAAAACAGGACTGAGATACTAAAAACAACAATTTGGATTTAAATATGGATAAATAGCATTACCATACATACATTTTCTTAGTTAGATGTGTCATTCTGGATCTGAGTTTTTGCTGGAGTTTCAGCTTGGAGGGACTGTTCAGTAATCATTTACTTGATTGTCTTTAGGTCAAATGCAATGAACAGCCTAACAGAGTAGAAATATATGAGAAAACCGTGGAAGTTCTGGAGCCGGAGGTCACAAAACTGATGAATTTTATGTACTTTCAGGTAAAAGAAAGTTGAAACCATGATTATTAAGAGAAGAAAATATTTGATCTTATTGTGTGCTCTATTTTATGTGGCTTGGCTCAGATTGTATTCCTGTAAGTAAATAATAGAAATAAGTTATGTGACTTACAAAGAGGGGTGAGTTGTCCCTATGTTTCACATAAAAACTTTCAGCTAAATTGACAGGGACTTATTTGAGCATTGCCACTTTTAGGCACCTGCCTCTGGGATGCAATGTATACCACGAATTAGGTGCCCGCACTCTCCATACAGGGCATTTTAAAGGGCCTTATATGGAAGGAGGAGAAGGAAAAGATGACAACATTTAGATAACGCAGTGAAATTTCCTCCTGAAGCTGCTGCTTCACTGAAAGTTGGAATTTTCCCTTCATTCCTTCTGCTAGAGAAATGCAATTGAACGGTTCTGTGGAGAGGTGAGACGTTTATGTCATGCAGAGAGGAGGAAAGACTTTGTGTCCGAAGCATATCTCATCACACTGGGCAAATTCATCAACATGTTTGCAGTACTGGATGAACTGAAAAATATGAAATGCAGTGTGAAGAACGACCACTCTGCCTACAAGCGGTGAGATGCAATGACAGCAAACTCTTACTTTAACACTGAACCCACACTAGATGGCAGTAGTGGCTCTTTATGTAATGAACTTGTCTTATTTTTAAGTATAGGTACGATAACACTGAAACAAAAGGGTGACCTGCTTGAAGTTATATCTTTGTGAGCAAAACCATTTTATTTATGCTTGTTCTACCAAAACAGCTTTGTTCTCCAGGCATGCAAACTGCCTGTCTGTCTCTTATGCGTTCATTTTTTCATAAATCTTTTCTTTTTAGTATGAAAGACTTTTTTGTCCTTCTGCCCAAGTATGATACTCCCATTTTTAACATGCAACCTTGATCTCTTTGTCAGTCACCATTAATTCAGTAGCCTGTAAGGCTGTTTGGCTTTGCTGTCCCCAGCTACTGTAGACAGAGCAGGAGGGGAGAAGGCTAGAACATTGGCGACAAACCCAAAACAGACTCAAACTACAGCATATTACATTTGCAAGTTGTGTGTTATGGCAAATGTAGGAGGCAGAGAGTCTTTCCCTTAAACACACAGCACTTGCAACAACTTTAAAGTAAAGTGGCAGGTGGTTCATAATGATCATGATCAAGGTAATAAATGGCCTGTTTGATTCATGCTGCTTCTGCTTAGCTGAATTTCTGTTGTCCTATGAGGAATTCTCCTTTTAGTTTTCCTTTGGTTTCAGAATAATTTGTTTCTCCAGAGCAGTGTTCCAAGGGAACACAACGTGTCCTTAAGATTTCATTATCAGCTGGTGTAACCTGGCATAGTATCACTGCACTCCAGGTGTCCATCTGGAACAGCTTCTTTACTGGAGTGCTAGCTCTGGGAGGGGTG